GATATCCTGCATAATCCTGAAAAACCCAACGGAATCCGGAGAACCCCATGGGGATATCCTGAATAATCATTTGGGATCCCAGAAATTCCTGGGGGATCCTGAGGAATCGTGGGGACTCCAGAGACAGCCTGGAGAATCCTGGAGGATCCTGAGGAATCTTCGGGGTCCCGCGGATTTTCTTTCGGAATCCCTAAGACTCCTGGGGTGTCCAAAAAAATCTTTGGAGATCCAAGAGAGTCTGGAAGAATCCCGAGGAATCCAGAAAGGAGGCCAGACGGATTCGCGGAAATCCTGGGGGAACCTCTGGAAAAGCGCCAGGAATGCCGACCTCTTCTCCGGCCCCGTGGGGCACTTTGCGCTGCCGCCCCAGTGCCAACCCCTTTTCTGGCCCCGTGGTGCAAGCCCTCGGTTGCTGGAGCACTGCTTACCCTTAAGGAAATCACTTGGAGTTTGAAAGAAAAAGAACATCTTAACAAAGAGCCGGGGCCGGTGTCGACGCCTTGCCGAACAGCAGCAATAACAACAACTACAACAACAACAGCAACAATCATTGAAACACTGTTCGCTCTCAGCTGCTCGAGTGTCATTCAATTTGCATATCCCAAGCCCTGGATGCCCGCCCTCTTCGTCTTCGATCGTGCCCCCCACTTGGGGGGTATATTCATGTCCTGCCACGCGTGGTTGGTGAAGCCCTTGAAAACGAAGGGCAACAGATAACGAGAGAGAATGAGGACGATGATTTGCGCTGCGAGTGGCGATTCCGCCTGCGCCATGGCTTGCGCCAGCCACTCCAGAACAGGTTGACAATAAGTTTCGCCATGGGTCGCGCCATAAACAGCGCCACGTACCACCCCCTTGAAAGGACACATCGTGGATACCCCCACGGGGGGACGTACAGCTGCGAACTGGTGTGAGAAACAAATTTCGTGGAACCCTGAAAAGAAACGTGATGTTGGGAGAGTGGGACGGAAGGATCGTGAGAACTGCAACCGTGTCGAAAGGAACGCGGGGAGGCGGAATGGATTGGGATGGATGAAAGAGCTGGGTCTCAGGAGAAGGAGCGGCAAGGAGTGGAGAAGAGGAACCGGGAGGACCGCGGAGGAGCGCGGGACGCACGGAGGAATCTGGAGGAGGGACTGGGAATAATTTGGGAGAAATGCGGAATGCGAGCGGGAAGGGGTGGAACGAGCGGGCGCGAGCGAGCGGGGGCCACAAAGGGCAATTTATCCGGGGCCACAGAGGGCAGCGACGGGGCCGCTGAGGGCAGAAACGGGGCCACGAAGGGCAGAGAGGGGGCCACGAAGGGCGACAGCGGGGCCACGAAGGGCATGCATATGGGGCCACGACGGGCGCGAACGAATGGGGGCCACGAAGGGCATTCGTATATGGGGCCTCAGAAGGCGACACCGGGGCCACTGAGGGCAGCAACGGGGCCACGAAGGGCAGCGAGAGGGCCACGAGGGGCGACAGCGGGGCTACGAAGGGCATGCGTATGGGGCCACGACGGGCGACTGCGAGCGGGGGCCACGAAAGGCATGTAATCCGAGGCCACAATGTGCAGCGACTCGGGGCCACTGAGGGCAGCAACGGAGCCACGAAGGGCAGCGAGAGGGCCACGAGGGGCGACAGCGGGGCTACGAAGGGCATGCGTATGGGGCCACGACGGGCGACTGCGAGCGGGATCCACGAAAGGCATACAATGCGGGGCCACAATGGGCAGCGACAGCGGGGCCACTGAGGGCAGCAACGGGGCCACGAAGGGCAGCGAGCGAAGGAGACCGCGGAACCAGTACGGGCAGCGAGGGGCATCGAAGGCGGGCAAAAGGCACCGATCGGCGACTGTAGTCCCTAACGGGCTGGTCGGGCGGGCAGGCCCAGGCGGGCGGGTCGAGCGGGCGGGTCGTTGAAGCGTACATCCTGCTTGAACCGCCCGGCACTATATATATATATATATATATATATATATATATATATATAGCGGGAGCGCGATTCCTGAGTGTCCAAGGGCGGCATCCGAATAAATTGTGCGGAAATATCAGGCGGGAGCCGCGATCCGGTGGTAAGCTGCGAGGAACAAGCGAGAGCGCGATTCTTCAAACATTGTAAGGAAATATCAAGCGGGAGCCGCGATCCGGTGGTAATTTGCAAGGAAGCCCCAAGCGAGAGCGCTATCCGGCGGGAGCCGCTGTTGTTGTAAACCGGGGACCAACGATACAATTTGACCGTCATGACTTTCCCTGATGATAAACAGGGTGCGAGCCCCAGGAAGGGCACTCCAATCGAAAAATCACTGTGCACCGGACGGGGGGGATCAACAATAATTATTTTTCATAAATGAGAGTTCAACAACAACAACAACAACAACAACAACAACAACAACAACAACAACAACAACAACAATTATTAGCACGTGGGGACACTCCGTTTTCACCAGTGCCAGGGTTTTCATAGGAGGCGGGCAATACCCCCACTTTGTGGGGGGGCCGGTTCAAGCTCTACCAAATTTCCAAACGACTCTTCGCCACCACCCACACCCAGCTTCCCGCCCTATGACGTTCGGACACTTCACTTCGTGGCATGCGGACGACCGTGGCTACTATTCAGGGCCCCGCGGCCGACGACGACGGCGTGCGCGCGCGAAGAAAAAACGAATGTGTCCCGCATGGTATTATTTGACAGGGATGATGGCCCTGGCAGGTGCGCAACCGTTGTTGCAGAAGTTCGAAAAAGTTGCTCGCAAAAGCCCGTTTGACAGAAATGTTTAAAAAGTGTGGGGTTTCCTACGAATCCGCAAGAGCGCGCGGGATGAATTTTTGCATTTTTTTTTTTGAAAAACCATTGGGTGTTTTTTTCATGTTTTTATGTTAAAATCGTTACGAAAACTAGGGTTTTGGAAGGATTTCATCTTGCGCGCGCGAATGTGCACTTCGTGCCATTTTTGCAAAGGATTCTTGAAGTTTGGTTATGTTAGACCAAGACATGTAATTTTATATTGTTTTTTGACAGGGAAAGCGGGCGTCAACAAAACAACCGGATCCGGACTCCCCCGTTTTGCCTGAGACTTCCGCACGAAAATGATGAAAATGTGGCTGCGGCCTAGGCGCGGCGAGGGGGCGTGCACCAGGGGGCCCAACAATAATTATTCTTTAGAAGTAATAATATTCAACAACAACAACAACAACGCCAACATCAACACCAACACCACCAACAATAACAACAACAACAACAACAACAACAGCCCCAACAACAACAGCCCCAACAACAACAGCCCCAACAACAACAACAACAACAAGAACAATCATTTTAAGCCTGTTCGCCCTTATCTGCTCGAGTGTCCAATAACGCGTACTTCCCAAACACTCGATACCCACCCTCTCCGTCTTCGATCGAATCCCTTTTGGGGGGTATACCTTTCTTCCCTGCAGGCCGGGCCCCGGCAAGCGGCGGGGCGGCCGCGGACCGTCGACTTGGCCAGCGGCAGCGCTGATCGGCGGGGCGGCCGCGGACCGTCGACCCGACCCCAAGACGGACGGACAGGGGAGCGACGACGACGACGTCGACGACGACGACGGCGACGACCACGACGACGAGCGAAAGCGAGAGCGAGAGAGAACGGCAGCAGGGCCACGAAGGACACGAAGTAGGCGACGAGGGGCGGCAGCGAGGACACGAAGGGAATGCGTATGGGGCCACGAAGAGCGCGAACGAGCGGGGGCCACTAAGGACAGATAGTGCGGGGCCACAGAAGGCAACGATGGGGCCTCTGAGGGTAGCATCTGGGACACGTAGGACAGTGAGGGGGCCACAAACGGCGACAGCGTGGCCACGAAGGGCATGCACATGGGGCCACAACGGGCGCGACTCCTGGGTGCCTGGGTGTCGGGAGCGCGCCGCTTGAGCAAATTGCAGGAAATTCCAACGCAAGGGCGCTTTTCTTCAGTAAATTGCAAGCAAGTCTTCAGCGAGAGCGCGACTCCAGAACGCCGGGAGAGCGATTCCTGAATAAATGATGAGGAAGTCCCAAGCGAGAGCGCGACTCCTGAGTAAAATGCGAGGAAGTCTCGGGCGGGAGCGGGGGTCCTGGCTAAATTGTGAGGAAGACTCAGGCGGAAACCGTTGTTGTTGTAACCCGGGGGCCAGGGGCCCAGGTTGAGCATCAAGACTTCCCTTGTCAAATAACAGGGTGCGAGCGTCGAGGGGCACACTTTGAATTAGAAAAAACATAATTTGCACCGGTGGGGGGATCAACAATAATTATTCTTCAGAAGTGGGAGTTCAACAACAACAACAACAACAACAACAACAACAACAACAACAACAACAACAACACCAACACCAACACCACCACCACCACCACCACCACCACCAACAACAACAACAACAACAACAACAACAACGAAGCAAACATAATTCCCATCGCGAAATCCTTGTCCAGCCACGCACCCAGGGACAATGAATGACCGTTCGGCCCCCTCACTCTGAACTCATGCGTATTTGCCAGGCGGGAACGCAACGTTGCGACGTCCTCCTCCTCCGCTTCCCCCCCGCTACAACTGTCCCATCACCAAACCGAACACGTCACGATTTGTTCGTGAGGAGGCTCTCGGATCTTTTCCTGGGGCCGGTGTGTTCGCCCTGGGCCACTCTGTGATTGTCACAAGGTCCTAGTCGGATGTCCAAAACAGTAACGGACAAAAACTGACTGCCATCATTTCAGCGTGACGCCATACGCTGTGGTACTCTTCCAATCGAGCCCAAAACGTATCCTGGGGCATCTTGGACAAAATATCGAAGGGGATCCAGCCTTGGCGACGATGCCCGAAACTGCAGAATCCTAGAAAACGAGTCCTGCTGCTCCTCCTCCCGCTCCTGCTCCACCTCCGCCAATTGTCAGCGGCGGCCTTGACCGAGCAGGGGAGCAATCAGCACGCCACACGAGTCGAGGCCGCCACGGGCGCCGTCCCAGATCGCCTGGCGCAGCTCGCCGCCAGGGCCCAGCATCATGCAGAATCCTCCCCTTCCAGAGCCCCCTGACCTGCATCGTAGTCCTCCCCATCATCAGTCCTTCTCATCGTCGATCTACTCTTCCTCCCATGGCATCTCGTGCTGGATGCCCCGTTCTTCCTCGCTTTCGCCCTTTTCCTCCCCGTCCTCGTCCATATCGTCCCCTCCCGACTCTCAGTACTCGTCATTATCTTGACCAGTCTCATCCTCCTGACCCCTTCTCGTGCTTGTCGATACCCTTTGCCTCTCCCTCCTCTTCTCACCATCCTTATCCCTATTCGTCTTCATCGTCCTAATCCTCTCCTCCTCGTTTTCCGCCTCCTCCTCCTCCTCCGGCTCTTCGTCCTCCTCCTCCCCTCTTGTCATATTCCCTTCCACTCCCTCCTCCTCCTCCACCTCCTCGTCCTCCTCGTCCTCCTCGCCCCCTCCTCCTCCTCCTCCTCCTCCTCTTCCTCCTCCTTCTCCTCGACATCCCTCCCCCCTCCCCCTGCGCCCGTTGTCGGCACGCCCACCCGCTCCTCTGAGGTCGGCCGGACCGGACCAGGAGAAGCCCAGGTGGAGGTCCCTGTCGGACGCGGCCCTCGTGAGCTGGATCGCCTTCTGGCGGCGACGACGGCGATCATCGAAGCTGATTTTGCCCTTTTCGGGCCTCCGAAAGCATCTGGAAGACATCCAGAGGCCTCCGAGAACATCCAGACACCCCCAAACAGACATCCAGAGGACCCTGGGACCCTGGCGTCACGAGAAAATCCAGACGGAGGCCTTTGTTGGCGCCTTCGGCTTCCAGTTGAGGAGTCGAGAGCCAAGGAGGGCCAAGTCGAGAATAATCACGACGCCAGAAAAAAGGAGATAGGGGGGGCACACGTCCCCTCTATGACCTACTCTAGTTTTCTGGCCCTCGGGACCCCCCCTATCCAGACGGCTTCTGTTACCCGCCACCGTCCCGCTACGTACTGAGTGTAGTGTTCCTAGGTGGTCTCGATCCCGCATTATGGGCCAGACTATCAAATCATAGGTTTGCTGGGGTGCCCCGGGTGGGTGACATCTGGAGGATGTCCCGAGACTTTTCCTGATAGTGAAGAGCTCGAAGACGGGCCAAGAGGCTCCTAAGAGGGCCTCGGGACAGTCAAGAGGTCCCGATACGGCCCAAGATTGCTCCGAGACGGGCCAAAACGACCGAAGAGGTTGCCAAGACGCCCCAAGAGGGCTCCAAGATGACCCCCAGGGGGCCTCAAGATGCCCAAACCATTCATTGACTTTCCCTTGGGTCGTGTAAGGTTTTTAACGGTCTCGCATCTTCGCGCTGCCAACGCTCCAATACGGCCCGAGAAGTCTCCAAGATCGCCCCAAGACTGCCCCATAAGCCGCCAAGGGTACCTCAAGGCAGCCCCTAAAGGTCCAAGACGGACCACAAGGCCCCCAGGAGGCCCCCAGGAGGCCCCCAGGAGGCCCCCAGGAGGCCCCGAGAGGCATCAAAAAAGACTCAGACCCACGACCCAGGCTCGGTGGCGGGGTGGACCAAAAACCACTCTATAATTTTCTAGCCCTCGGGCCCCCGCGGAAATGGGTCCAGCCATGGCGACGAGATCCTGCAACCAAACAACACATCCTGGGTCGCATGCCGCCGCAACCGCGCCAACAACCGCACACCCAACCGCAAACGGGCAACACAATGTGGGCCGCTTGCGCCCGCATCCGTATCCAAACGACGCAATTCGAACTGCAACCTGCCGCAACAACGCCCGCAATGGCACACACCTGGGAACACATTTGGGCCGCATGTCCCGCAATCAAGCCCGAAACTGGGCAACCAATGGTGGGCTGCGGCAGCCGCTGCAACCTGCAATCGCACAAACAACCGCGCCCTCAACCGCAAATAAATGACACACGTCGGTCTGCATGCCCCTCCCAGCAACTGCACCCGCAATCGCACCCGCAACCGCGCGCTGCTTACCTTCAACCATCACCATCATCACCGTACCTATTACCTATACGACCACCCTGCGGGTGATACGGAAGTTGGGGGAAAGGGCCAGCAATCCATTCCACTATCGATCCCACTATCGATCTCGCTATCGATCTCACTATCGATCTCGCTTTCGATATCACTATTCATCTCATTATCGATTCCCCTATCGATCCCGCTATCGATCCCATTCGATCGATCTCAGTATCGATCTCACGATCGATATCACGATCGATAGCACGGTCGATCTCACTATAGATCGCACTATCGATCTCTCACTCTAGATCTCACTATCGATATGATTGTCGGTCTCATTATCGATCTCACTATCGAGACGGGACAACGACGGGACACCAGCGAAACACAAGCGGGACACCAGCGGAACACCGGCAGGACACCGCATGGCCAGGATGGTTGTGCGACAAGCAGTTTCACGACAAGGAAGAGACATATTAACGACAAGCAAACCCACGTTGTTCGCCACCCACTTTCGCCACCCACTTTCGCCGCCCACTGTCGCGGCCCACTTTCGCCACCCGCTTTCGCCATCCACTTTCGCCGCCCACTTTCGCCACCCACTCTCGCAACCCACTTTCGCCGCCCACTTTCGCCGCTCACTCTCGCCACCCTCCTTCGCCACCCACTTTCGCCACCCACTTTCGCCACCCACTCTCGCCACCCACTCTCGCCGCCCACTTTCGCCGCCCACACTCTCGCCACCCGCTTTCGCCACCCACTTTCGCCGCCCACTTTCGCCGCGAACTTTCGCCGCCCACTTTCGCCGCCCACTTTCGCCACCCACTCTCGCCACCCACTCGCCGCCCACTTTCGCCGCCCTTTCCTCTCGCCGCCCACTTTCGCCGTCCACTTTCGCCGCTCACTCTCGCCACCCACCTTCGCCGCCCACTTTCGCCGCCCACTCTCGCCGCCCACATTCGCCACCCACTTTCGCCGCCCACGCTCTCGCCGCCCACTTTCGCCACCCACTTTCGCCGCCCACTTTCGCCGCCCCCTTTCGCCGCCCACTATCGCCGCCCACTATCGCCACCCACTTTCGCCGCCCACGCTCGACACCCACTCTCGCCGCCCACTTTCGCCGCCCACGTTCGCCGCCCACTTTCGCCGCCAAGTTGGGCGGCGAATGAAAGTGGGCGCAGAACGAAAGTGGCTGGCGCATGAAAGTGGGTGGCGAACGAAAATGACCGGTGAATGAAAGTGGGTGGAGAACGAAACTAAGTGGCGAACGAACGTGGGTGGCGAACGAAACCGGGCGGCGAATGAGAGTGGATGTCGAAAGAAAGTGGGCGGCGAACGAGAGTGGATGGCCAACGAAAGTGGGCGGCGAACGAAAGTGGGTGGCGAACGAAAGCGGGCGGCGAACGCAAGTGGGCGGCGAACGAACGTGGGCGGCGCGCAGAAATTGGCGGCGAACAAACTTGGGCGGCGAACGAAAGTGAGCAGCGAACGAAAGTCGGCGAGGATCGAAAGTGGGCGGCGAACGAGAGTGGGCGGCGACCCAAAGTGGGCGGCGAACGAAGGTGGGTGGCGAACGAAAGTGGGTGGCGAACGAAAGTGGGCGGCGAACGAAAGCGGGCGACGAACGAAAGCAGGCGGCGGACCGAGGCGGGTGGGATGGCGAACGAAAGTGGGTGGCGAACGAAAGTGGGCGGCGAACGAAAGTGGCGGCGAATGAAGGTGGGTGGCGAACGAAAGTGGGCGGCGAACGAGAGTGGGCAGCGAACGAAAGTGGGAGGCGAACGAAAGTGGGTGGCGAACGAAACTGGGTGGCGAACGAAGATGGGCGGCGAACGAAACTCGGTGGCGAACGAAGGTGGGCGGCACGCAGAAGTGGGCGGCAAACCAAAGTGGGCGGCGAACGAAGGTGGGCGGCGAACGAAAGTGGGCGGCGAACGAAAGTGGGCGCTGAACGAAAGTGGGCAGCGAACGAAAGTGGGCGGGGAACTAAAGTGGGCGGCGAACGAAGAAGGGCGGCGAACAACAGCGGGCGGCGAACGAAAGTGGGCGGCGAACGAAAGTGGGCGTCGAACGTGGGTGGCAAACAAAAGTGGGTGCCGAACGAAAGTGGGTGGCGACTTTTTCGTTTCGTCTCCAATTTTCGCTTCGCCTCTCACTTTCGCTTCGCTTCCCACGTTCGCTTCGCCTCTCGCGCTCGCTTCGCCTTCCACTTGCGCTGCGCCTCGCGCTTTCGCATCGCACCTCACGTTCGCTTCGCGTCTCACGTTCGCTCCGCCCCCCGCGTTTGCTTCGCCACTCGCGCTCGTTTCGCATCCCACTGACGCTTCGCGTCTCACGTTCGCTCCGCCTCCCACTTTAGCTTCGCTTCCCACGTTCGCTTCGCATCTCACGTTCGCTTCGCATGTCGCGTTCGCTTCGCCTCCCACGTTTGCTTCGCCTCTCGACTTCGCTTCGCCTCCCACTTTCGCTTCGTTTCTCACGTTCGCTTCGCCCCCCACCTCCTCCTCCTCCTCCTCCTCTTCCTGGGCGCCCCCCGTTCGCTGCCCCCGGCCCCCTCTTTGCGGGGGCGGCCTAAACTGGTTTAGCCCCCTCGGCCTTGGTGGTTTCGGGGGTTCTGGGGACTTCGCCACCCCGCCCCCGCCGCTGCCGGTGGCTTCCCTGTTGCGTCGCTGAGTGGCGGTGGTCTTCGAGATCCGTCCTCGTTGCTTCGATATCGTTCTGGCATTATCGATCATCGGCGTTGTCTTGCGCAGCTCCCTGCCCCTGCCGTTGCCCCCCGTCTACTTCCTCCTTGCAGGTGTGCGACGGCGTCGCGGCCCGCGTCGCCTCTTTCGACCCCGCGCCTCGTTGCCGCGGATGGATGCGATTCGGGGCGGCGCGGGGGGGCCCGAGGGCCCGTTGCTGCGGGGCTGCGTTCGGCAACCAGGTTTTTCGTTTTTGGTTGTTCGGGGTTGCATTTGGCAACGAGGCATTCGGGCTTTTGATTTTGGGCCGCGCTCGGTAACTAGGCCTTCGGGTCTTGGCGGCCCCAAGTCGGGACTGCAATTGGACAGCCAGGCCTGCGGGCGCGGAGCTCCCCAGCGCGGATTTGTAACTGCGGTCTTTGCACCGGGGCGCCTCGACGTCACGCGGGCCAACTTGTCGGCGCCCTGCGCGCGGGAACATAGAGAAGGAGGAGGGCGGCGACGACGAGGGGAGGAAGGGGGCGAGGGAAAAGGGGGGCGAGGATGGGCGGAGGAGGAGGCGGACGACAACGAGAGGAGGAGGCGAGGCATGAGGAGGAGGTGAGGACTGACGATTGGGACGCACAGACGACATATTCACGGCAGATCGGAAGCAATGCGGAACAATTATTTGGAGGCGCTCTCGCCAGGGGCTTCTCCTCGGCCGCCCCCCCGGAACAGTGCGTTGCTGCGTTGCGCGCGCGGCCAGATCATTCGTGCAAACTTACCTTGCAATCATATTGCCATCGTCAGTTCGCATTATTCTCTCATCTTCCCGCCGAGCGTTTCATTGCATATCTTTGCGTGACATGTTTTTCTGTCATGTGCCATCCTGTCCTTATCGTATCATCTCACCTTGCGGCGTTATTACCTCGGCCTATGAAATAACGTTGGAATCGTGATAAGTTGTCGTCTTACAAAACCAGATTGCC